GTGGAAAACTAGGTTGGAGATGGGAGTCAAGTCTCAGCTTTGGGCCACGAAGGAAAATTGTCCCTTAAAGCCCAACCCTGTGGCTCGCTGGTCACTGGCATGATCTGCGAGTGCAGGAGTTGCCATGCGGGGCTGTGTGCCGGTGAACGTGCAGGGCAGCTGTTGTGTGTTCATGGCAAGAACGTGCTCACGTACCTGCAGGTGTGTGTGCAGAGGGAAAGGCGGACATGGGGATTTAGGGAGAACACAGTGGCGTGTATGCGTCGAGCTGCTCACGAGGGGAGGTAGAGCTCGTGTATACATGTGCATCAGCACAGTGACGCATTTACAACTACAAAGTGCCATAACATGTAAAAGTGCTGTATGTGCAGTAACAGATCAGTGTGAGAACAAGGTGTAAAGAGCCGGAGAGTGATTTTGGTGAGGAAATCTCCCTGCTATCATCCTATGGTGCCTGTGGGTCTCCAATACCAGGCCAGGCCCTCACCTGCTCAGATTTGATGTGCTCTGATGTTTGAAAGACGTCAGGGTAAGAAGGACGCTCAAAAACTCGATCTAAAGCTTCCAGCTGCTGCTGGGTGAAAGTGTCGCCACGAAGGTGCTTCCGCAAACTGTCCACGCTGCTCTGGGAATCTCCATTGGGAACTGAGCCCTCGGATACATCTGCAGGGCACAGACAGAGAAAACAGGGAGTTAGCACCACCCTGGCTCAGATCAGCAAGGGATGTGGGACAAGGGCAGAGGGGGAAAGAGCAGGGCCCTCCACCTCCACTCAGGGAGCTGTGCCCCTCCTGCAGGAAGGGGAGGCTGCGGGGACCCGAGGGAAGCCCCCTCCTCTCTGCTGGAGCAGCTAGGCTGCCCCCACGGGCTCCGTGGGACTTTCCTGCCCGGGGTGAGCGAGGCTGTGGAGAATGGTGCTTGGCTCAGAGACGAGTTTCGGTTCCACTGATTTTCAGTGTTAAGAATTGCCAAATCTCCATTGCTGAGCATAAAATGGGAGCAAAGCGTAGCGATTAGCACTGCTGGAAGGCTACTGGAGAGGCAGCTCACAGAGAAACCAGAGTGCTGAGGGTGGACCTGGAATGGAGAAAGTGCTCTCTTACAGCTTGAAAGGGAGCCAGTCTGTTGTAGCTCCCTGGCCCCAGTAGAAGTTCTCATCTGATCTTGTCCTGTCGCACCCTGGATGAGTCTCTCATCCCCCTCAGATAACAGGAACGATCCTGTTTCTGACTCCCACGTTTCACCAGAGACAAGTCTGCCCCATCCAACATACGCTGGTTTCTGTTATGATCTCTGTCCCGTTCTCCTGCATGTAGCTCATGATTTATCACAACCCATATCTCTGTTATAAAACTCCCTTCAAAATGAGATTAATCTTTGTCTGCGTTGGTCCCTCTTCCTATCCAAAATGAATTATTGTGTAACAAAACCAAGTCCTACTCAGTGGGCATCAGCCTTTCTGGCATTCCTTTGTTCTTAACTAGGAAAAAAGCCTTTTTCCGGTAGTCGGATCAGAAGTGCAACTCTGTCCCCACAACAGCCCTCTTGACACAATCCAGTCTCACTGCGGTGCCTCCTGCCACGTTCAGATGTCTCTGTCTGTGCTGTGCCATCCCATGCCTCTTACAGCTCACTCATCCCCTCGACCCGAGTCCGTTATAAATGCCCTGCCCCGTCCAAAGTGCATCTTTCCCTTTGATAAACCATCTTATCACCCACCTGTTTTGGTTTTTGTTTTCCCTGGCATCCCCCAACTCAAATGAGGTGCATTTATCTTGGTTATAACCCCTTTTTATCTGAAGTGAGTCTCCTGCTATTAGCATCTGTCACATCCAAGGTGAGTCTGTCTGTTATAACCTCCTGTCCCAGCTGAAGTGAATTTTCCTTTGTCATAATCCCTCATCTCATCTGAGGCAAGTCTGCTCATTATAATCTTCTCCAACTGTGCTGAGTATCTTTCTGCTGTCACCTCTCGGCCTAACTTTGGTGAGATTGGTTATAATCCCCTGTCTCATCCATGCTAATACCTCCACACCCTCCATGCTGAAACTCTACCCACTGTGCTTCATCAGACACAACTCTGACCGTCTTATCACCCTGTCTATCTCAAGATCAGGTTCTCTCTCTTACACTGTGATTACCTTCCTGCACTTTCACTATTATTCTTCATACTTCACAGCCTTTCTTGGTGGCTTCCAGGCTGTGAATCTCAGAAACTTGCTGTCTGTCAAGAAAGTGGTTGAGGGATCTGTATAGACCCTTTCCCTCCTCCATGCGATTACGAGCATGCTCATGAGCAGACAATGCTCTTAGGAGCCTGGAGTGGCATCCACTGTGCAGCAGCCAGAACCCTGCCACTCCGCCGCTTCGGCTTTTAGCTCGTGGGTGGTGCCAAGATGGGTATTTTCCTGGCACAGTTAATGCCCAACCGGTGGCCCAGAGTTACAACTGAGCCTGCTGCCTTCTGGCTATGAGATATATCAGTTTATAGGTGATTATACGATATGATATAATCAATAGTACATTATATACAGTAACGTAGTACAGTACCACTCACAAGACCATAGAAAATATTACATATTGATTTGTCCCAGCCAGCAGCCTTCCCTCGAGCAGCTCCTCCTCCCTCTTTCTTTTCCACCCCTAGCCACAGCAGGTCTGTTTACTGGCGCTGATCCCTGGCATTTTCTCCTCTCCTTGGGCTTATTCACACAAGGGAAAATTCTCAAGTTCCTAAAAGATGGAGTTCATGACAGATTTGACTAAAAGAAAACAAAGCAAAGACCAGGCTTGGTGGACTGCACACCGTGCTCAGTGCAGTCTTCGTGTTGTAGGGGGACTGGGCTGTTACTGCGGGGGGTGGCTTTCAGGAGCGGTAGGGTAGCTCGAGGCTCATGCTCCCAGTTCCAGTAGCCACTTCTCTCTGGACCTCCCTGCAGAAGATTGGCACAAAACTCCTGGATCCAGGCTTGGAAAAACCCCTGTGTTTCTATATCAGCGCTTGTTTCAACCTCTCTGCAGCCTGTGAAGCTGTTTGAGGAGTTTTCCACGTGTCAGTCAGCATGCATGACTCTGCACACCGTGATGCTAATACACGCGGGTATTTTTGCAGCAGATCATTATTCTGCTGTTCTCTAGATTCTGTATCACCATACGTGCCTGGGCAGCTGTTTTGTCTGCAGCGGCTGGTTTAGGCTACGTTCGATTTCCAAGGCTGGCAGCCCTACCCTGCGTGTGGTGTTTGGTGTGAGTGGACGAGTGTTCACATATATGGTAAAACTTCCATTGATCGTGATTAAACCAGATTTTACCATTAGTGAGTGGCTCCAGGCGGTTACACAGGTTAATGCACACATGCACATGTACTTGCAGTTCCTCTCTGCCTGCAGAGCCCTGTGCATGTGTGGTTCCTGTGTGTGCACGGGCCATGCCTTTGTGTGAAGAAGCTGAAACCACTGCTTTCCCAAGTCGCTGTAGGAGTCTCTTTTCCTTCATTTATTCAGGGGCCCTTCAGATCTTGACAAATCTGTCACTCTAAATTTGCGAGAGATTATGGTGCTCTCTCCCTAGCACGGAGAGAGGTGATATATGATATCTGCTGCCCCTATTGATTGCCTGATCTGGTGGCAGAGGGCTGGCGAAATGAACTTGAAATGAACATCATGCCTCAACTCATTGTGCGTATAATACACTACTTAATCCCACATTTTTCAGCTGCTATGGAATTCAATTGATCAATCATGTCCCTCTGATAGTACTGTTTTAGGGGTTATTGCTGCTCTGCTCGCTGACCTTTTTGTTTATTTATTTATTTGTGCGTGTGCACACGTAGGTGCGTATGTGTGTTTGGGAAACTCAGGACTAGCTGATAAGAAAGGACCTGTGCAGTCAGTGGGAAATTAAAGAAAAGGGAGGAGAGGATGAAGGGAGGAGAAAGGGAAGGAATGGGGTTAGATAAGAAATCAGAATGATCAAAGCAAGCAAATAGATAGGGAGAGGTGGAAAACTTGTAAGGAGAAAGGCAATGCTTTACTTTAGGTGGGAGTTCTGGATATGGAGCAGGTGGGGGGGCACTCTGCCATGGCCTAGCCTTTAAAATCTGCAAAAGAAAAGAAACTTTTGACAGAGGTGGACCTCGTCTAAGCAGCCTGCAGTAGAACTGGATGTCATAATGGTAGGGCACACAAATCCCAAATTTCACAGAGCAGTAATAGGAGCTGTGCATACGGATTTTACGTATGAAATGAAGTTTCAGAGAGATGATCCTGATAGGTTTATATGTTTTGTGTTGCTAACACTGAGACATTTACAATCATGCATCATTATATTTTTTTCTAAACCAAAGGATTGTAAATCCCCTGTGTTTGTTTCCTGGTGTCAAAATCTATAGATGATGTGTTTTCATTTTTTCCCTAGAACTTTAAGGGACAGACACTAGTCTCTGGGTTTAGATCATTCTGATCTATGCATATGACTCTGTGAGCTGCGCCATCAGGAGAAGCCTCAAATACTGTAGTACATAAAGTATGGGAGCTGACAATTGTGTGGGTATGAGCACACGTGGCAGTAAGGAGCAGAGAGGAGTTTGGGGAAGAGATGGGGTCCATCTCAAGGGCTGCAGGTGAAAACAAAGGGAGGCCTCCGGGAAAATTTGAGTTGGTAAAGACTAGCAGATCCCACGAGGGCTGGCCCTGTGGTGGGCAATAGTCACTTCAACTGACGAAGAACAGTGCTAGGAATAAAAGCTTAAGGGATGAGAATTTGTCATGAAAGCAGTTCTTGGAAAGGGTGCTGTGGTGAAGCAAGGCTTCAGCTGCAGGACGAGTTTGGGGATGCCACCTAGGTGACTATGCTAGCTGTACCACTGGGAAGCACCACCGCCTTTCCCAGCTCCCTTTTAACCGACAAAGGGAAACTGTGGTACTGTGACACAGGGACATCTCTCGAATCAGAAGGATCTTAACAAACAGCTCCAGAGGTGAACCATGGCCTCGGTCACTGTGTCCCTCCAAGAGCACAGAGTTGCTGTCAGCATGATCAGGACGGGCCTTGCACATGTGACAGGAAACATCTCTCCTCCTGAGACGCTGCCGAGGGAATGTCCGCAGCCAATGTTCAGAAAAACCTTCGACACGACACAGAAATGCTCCATGGGTGTCACAGAAGTATCCTGACAGATAACAAGGAAATGCTGTGCCAGAGGACACAGGAACAACCTCAACTACATCTGACACAGGGAATATGCCCATTAAATAGCCACGAAACAGAGATGTTCCCAGGTCTGGATGCCACAAAGACACCACCATGTACCAGCAGCACAAAGCAGCGTAATACAGTTACTACTCTGGCTATAGGTGACAGAGCGCCCTTGCTCAAGGTGGGACAGGACTACCTCAACAAATAATTCAGAAGCATCGCTGACATAGGAAGACCTTTGTGGCATAGAAATATGTAGGAAGGTCACAAGATGCTGTGCAGCTGGCACACAAACATGGAGATACTGTTCTCTTTTGGGGCAGGAACTATTACGACCCCCATGACGTGTCTGCCTGCTGCCTCGTGGGGCCCCAATCTCAGCTGGGGCCTCGCACCACTACCAATAAAAATCACAGACATAATAAAAGCGAATGTGACTGGCATGAGAAGTGCCAGCCAGGTGACAC